CATCATTTATAACCATGTTCTTCGTCAGATCTGCACGAGATCCATGAGATGCCGTTGGTACATAAGTATCACCTCCATATGTGCTAGACGATTGATGCGTGTCCTCCGACTCCAATGAGTTCCCGCGGGATCTAGTGCCGGGCACAGCCAGGTAATTCGAATGGGACACGGAGTCGTTCATCTTGTGTGTAGGAGACGAGACGTTATGCGGGGAGGTCGGTCGACTCTCGTGATCCCGTGGATCAGAAGCGAACGAGCGTATTGAGCCACCCGAAGGCCCATCCAAAGGCGAAATACTGCCGCTGTTTAAGAGAGCGCTTGTATCATTGGAAAAGGCATTTTCACTGGAGACTTGTAACGTGGGATGCGCCGCGGTCGGTGAGATTTCTTCGTTAAGGTCTGTATTAATTTTGATTTCGGGGGCCTGCGGTCGTTGCAAAGGCTGCGACTGCTTCGAATCGTTTGCGTTGGATCTGGAATCCGACATGATCGTCCAAGGGGTTTAACGGCCCAGGTAAGAGTGGGTCTCAAGGGCGACAAGAGTTTTAGACGAAAGGGATATTGATATGAATAAGAATGCGGCTCCTGAAGGAGCAATTAATCGGACCTCGTTGTATCATCAAAGCAAGGCTTGTGTTCGTGAAGAGGTAGGGGTTTCTGCAGTATTACCGCAACCGTTTAAGCTTCCCAATAGATATTGAGTCCTAGCAGTTGTCCAATATAACCCATGTGGCTTATGCTGAGACAAAAAATTACCGGTCCTCCTTCCTTGTGAATCCAAATGCGAAGAATGCGCGAGAACGATGAGGAGCGGTAGCGATCGACATCCAAAATATAGAGGAAACGGGCAGAGGATTCTGTGGCAAAACAATTCACTCGAGGAATGTCGAGATATCAAACGATGGGAAACAGTCACCGGAAGTATCCACGGTTATGAATAGGATGGGGAGATCCGCAAAAAGTGACCATCTGTGAAGCGCATAAAGATCCTAAATGAAAACAAAGGACAGGTGAAATCCGCACTCAGTGCCTTGGACTCTAGAGTATGAGGCTTTCAATCTCACTCACTCACACACACACACAAAGGTCAGCCATACAAGCAAACCAGAAACAGTCCAGTTACGGACAGGAGTCAACAGAGACACAAAGCGCCAGTATACGAACGGTATACTCCTCCAGTCGCCCTGACGTGGGACCAATGAATTTAGGGGATATAGCGCTAGAAAAAGGGAGCTATCCGGGGGTCAGAGAAGGAAAAAGACGGGAGAGTACGGTGAGGTGGTGAGATTCAGGTACACCGAGGTCAGTAGGTCGACTGGAGATAATCGTAGCTGCTTGCAATACTACTAGTTGGGTTCAATGCGCTAAACCACGGATCCCAGATGGAAGTTAGCGTCACAACCATTACAATACCAGCACCCATACTTTTTTTCCTATATACAAAACCCCACTGAGAGAAGTCTCCTCCTGGTCGCCAATTCAGCCAATCACGACCGAGTATCTAGAAGCATTACGGTAAGAAGGCCGTCACTACTGCGGCCGTCAGCTCCACCGGCGATCCGCAGAAGGTCGAGAATCTCCTGTACGGTAAACCCCTGTACACGAATTAAGTAATAGATGCCGTTTGCAGACCTCTCATTTCCCAAGTTGGACGGATGACATCGCTTCTCTGCTTACTAGATCTGGACTTAATCGCTCCCCTGGTATTGAAAGTTTGCCTTTTGAACATCTTCTTCCAATAACGTTTCCTGAAAAGGGAGAATGAACTACTAATGACCATAAAAAGGAAAAAAAAAAAGAAAAACAAAAAACAAGGATCGCTCCAATGATGGGTCCATGGCTTGCCACCGAAACACAATGCTTGGGATTTGCTTCACTTGCTAATAGACCTTGTCCTGCAAGTTCAATGCTGGAACATCACTCGTCGGCTTCCACTGCACTGCCTCACTCCATTTCCCCGTCCGTCATCGATTTATTTTTTTTTAATATTTTTTAATTTTTTTCAACACACTGACCTCCTCCCTTTTTTTCTTGTTCCTCTCCTTTTCAAGAAAAAAAAATTAATTAAAAATTTTCCCATATTAATTTTCCCACCATTCCTACCTAACCTAATAACCTAAAAGAACATTGGGATGTTGCTCCTGTGACAATGTAACCACTTTTTGTTGATATACATCGTTTTCGGACTCATATCTATGCAAGTATCCTCATACCACAAGAGAGAACAGGGAAAAGCTCCGTCAACATTCTTTCCTGGACCTATTTATATGACCTATACACTTATTCAGAATATTTCCTGCATGACCAGCAGCGATATGACCTACGATACGATATCTTTTCCACTGGAGTAGTTGAGATTCTGATCCTCCCCTCCGTCAAAGGATTCTGCCGTCTATAAAATTGTTTGATGCCGAAAAGGGGGCCCACTTGATGATATTACACGACAACCACCTCCAAAAGGGGGGAGGCGAGTCATACAATTCAATATAGATAGATGGATTCCCTGCCACTAATGCACACTGTAGTGTTGTTTGATCCGGAACTTTAATCCTTTAGCAACCCCAAAGTGTTGACCCTCGAATGATGATGTGGTTGGTAAGAGTACGGAGTAGTCCTTACTATACTCCAGCATCGTCGATGGGACTATTTACCCCATACGTACAGGCGACAATGAGGCCCGCAACGGACACTTGGGAGACAAAAAAGAAAATTTTTCAAACCTGCTGGCCTGCCAATTATTTTATTTTATTTTATTTTATTTATTTTAAATTTTTTTTTTCCACATGAACCAATCTCATCATGTCCGTTGCACCGTTCAAACTCCTTGATGGGGGGTCGTTTCATTGCCGCGGACGAATAATGAACTCCGGGGCTTGGCAAATGGGCGGTGCAAAGGAAAGGGACCCATAACACGTCTCCAACAGTCTAGCCCTTGGGATTTTCCCTTTTCTTTGATGACCTGTTTTCCTCATAATTTTTGGGCGTTCGATCCATCCGCTGGGGCACTTTTTACTGGTTCACTTGGCCGGTTGCATTGCTCGTTCTTCAGGGCTAGCCTCGCTGGTTGATCCAAGTCTACTCCGTAGATACATGGAGTACTAACGTATACATGTACATACTGTACTCCGTACAATCTTCATACTGTGTACAGAGTACGGAGTAGTTCTAAGCATAAGAAGATGGGTGGATACTTCTCCGGAAACGAAGCGAGACGTGGGTACGGGAACGAAGTACGTACGAGGTGCCATGCTGTCTCTTAGTAGTATGATATGTGGCAGTTACACCAATGTCAATGGTCTGATAGGACAAAGGAATGAAGCGTGGTCCAATGTAATGCAGTAGATCTCTCTTGAATAGCACAACACTGCGTCATTTGTAACCACGCAGAGATGACAGGGGGTAAAAGTAAGTAAGCATGACTATACAGAGGCGGCTGCTATATCAGTGATCGTGCATGTTGTTTTACCATCTAGTAGCTAGCTTAACCACTTAGACCTGTCTTGGTTAAACCGAGGCTTCACTATCGATTCTAGAAAGACTACTGCAGTCACTAGTTCAACATGTATGACGCGAGCATAGGCCGTTCTTCGGCTTACCCACCGCAGACATTCAACATGTGTTATGGATGCACGTATGTTGTTGAATCTCTTCCATGGTTGAGCATGTGGGACTATCCGGTTTTCCCTCAATCCATAATTGCTCTGTGCTATGTATGTACTTACGTAGTTTGTACATGGTAACCCGACATGCCATCATAACTCATGGATGGACATACCGAGATTATCGATCTCGCTCACCATGCATATAATAAGCATACCCTAAACATCACCCCCTGCTTATCTATCCTTGCAAATAAGAACAATAAGAAAAAAATATATTCACTCTCAAAAAGAAGACAGAAAGCCACATGCAAGGATAATTTAATTCTTCTGCCAAACAACAACTTGAACAGTGTCTAGAAGGACCCACTCTTAACACGTACCTCTATAAGTGTACTAATCTCCAGAGGAACGAACACAGCCTCCAAACTGCTTATCACAATAGACAGATACATATGTATAGTACAGTAAGTGGACTTCCACCTTCCTCTTTAGTACCTACTAATGGTATCCATGTATCTCTGTTTGTACCCCGAGCGCATCTGAATTAATACCTCATACAATGCCAGCGACCCAACATTCCACACTTTCAACCTCAACCCTAAAGAATCCAACCTATGACAGAAGGAATGGCGGTCTGGGGGGTTAGTTTAGTTGTGAGAGGGGTTCTCCATAGAGTTCGCCAACTCACTCCATTATCTACATATCACCTAGTCACGATACCCCATGGACTTGGTCGATATGTCTCATAGAAGTGACCAGGGAAGAAACAGGCGACGTCCCGTCTAACAGCCTTTTACTGAGCAATCGTCTATCAAGATGCCTCCGTTGACTCGAACAAGGAACGAACGCGTTAACGTCCATCGTCTAGCCGTAATCTAGACTGAAACATTTGATTCAACTCATTAGATACTTCAGGGCCCTCCATTCGTATTCTCCTAAATTGGCCGTAGTCGTATTGCTCGCTCGATGGAGAAATACAAGCACTGCCCTCTTCGACGGAGCATTACAATGCAATGATGTACACAGTACACATTATTGTCCTACTCGATGGGGCCTTCCAGTTTCTTGACAGTCTAGTCTGTCGGATAACCTTTTTCTGTGAAGCAAGGCTTTAGTATGAATTGTGGTTATTGGGTATCCAGACCCATGACGGCTAGTCTATAGGTTTGGTATTAGAGTTTGGGGGGTGTTTTTTTCACTCGGGATTCGGGAAGCAAGCTTCTAGTCTATATATTCAATAGTTTGCGGACTGCGCCACGATGGCGACGGGGTTGATGGCGTGGATACTGGAGTCTTTACCCTCTTTATTGAGCTTTATTGGCCCCCGGTTTGAGGTGAAGTATCCAAATCAGGCCAGCTAGGTGTAAAAAACATGATTGCGCAAGAGTGAGCAAGGAGTAAGGATTTCACAAGATCCTATACAAATTATTAACTAGAGCAAAATATCCATGAAAATGCCATGCCAATTCTTGATGTGATATTGTAATCGAGCCAAACCCCTGACAAAAAGCGCCCGAATAATAAAACACTCCCTCTTAAATCCAGTCCAGATGCGATGGTTTGACCAGAACCCTCCTGCCAAATATGAGAGAACACAAATAAGAAAAGAGGGTAATATACACCAGCTCGTTCATAAGATATGTAAGTACATGTGCATTTCACTGCGTCTCAGGGAGGACATTGTCCTCATCGGGCACGTCGACATTCCAGATGCCCAAAGACTCGCCTCCCAAAAGTTTCTTGCCGGGCTTAGCCTGTGTGTTGATCATGGCTTTGCTAGACAAGGCCAACGCGTCCACGAGCTCCGCCATCCGACGAGACGCCACAAAGGCGCTAGTCAGATACTCGTTTTCGGACACCTGAATTGCCAGGTTCATGCACTGCACCAGAAGCTCGCTGGTAAGCACATGTCCGGCATAGTACAGTGCATTATGATAGTCGAGAAAAAGTTCCGGGATGTAGGTCTTTCGGATTTCTTCCAGCTCGGCTTGTTCGGTCTCTGTGTGGACCATTGGTGTCAGCATATGTCTCCTCATGTATTCCAAAGATGCCTTACCGTCCTCAGCACCCATGAGCCACTCATCTAGCAGTGCGTCAACGTGCACAGAAACCTCGTCTAAAGACTCCTGAAGCTCGTCCTTCAGGTTTTTGATCGTGCCAGAATCGCGTCTGCGTTTATTCCTGTATATCGTTAGTTGGTGTGGATTCTTCCCGGCATATTACCCATATCAGGCGGCCAGGTTACTTACTTGTCCAGCTTCTCGCAAACCACAGCAAACCACTCTAGTGCATTAAACGCCAGAATAAGCTCTTCCAAGTCACGCATAGTTTGCGATTGTTGGACTAAAAGGCTTGTTTGCTCGTCGGAGGGCAGTCTATTCGTTAAGGATCGGTTGCGCTTATGAGGAGAGCCGAACAGCCTCGACTTAGTCGGACTGGCGGGCTCTGGAGTCGACACTTCTACCTCATCCTCAACGCCAAAGGGGAATGCTGTCACGTCAAACCCAAATGACTCCCTTGAGATATCCGACAGCCTCATGCGTCTACTCAACTCCCGAGCAGCAGCAAGTCTACCAGTGACTGTAAAATTGTATAAGTCAATACCTTGTCCGAGGTACTTAGGGGCATAGAGACATACCATAGAATTTCCTGTACAACAAGGCACCCAGTTGACAGATCCTCCCCCATTGTCCATCAACATAGCGAAGCCATTCCAAACTTCGAATGACGCGTTCTTCCGTACCAGATACATCGGTTCCAATGTAATCCTTCTTGATTGGTACTACCTCAGGTAGGCCATCCTTGCGACGGACAACCTTGGGGTACCGCTTAAGCGTACTTGAATGCTCAACTGAGGAAACACTAGCGCTAACCCACTGCCACTGATCACGCAACACAGCTTCAACATCGATACCATGATTCTCCATGAGCCTGACTTGTTGTCGTCTCTCCCGCGGGTCGACTACCTCAATCAGGATCTGGCCAAGCACAGAGTGTGCCTGGTATGTTGGTAGAAGCGACGCATAAAGAGGGATGATTTCGTAGATCCGGGCCTCCTCCAAGTTGGCAATATACCCAATGACATTGATAGACGCATTAGTCGAGAATTGCGTATCTGAGCGCACATAGCCTAGTGAGTTCGCAATAATGTAGAGATGAGTCGCGATCCTCAAGGCATCGCCGTCCTCAGCCGCAATCAGTAGAGAGTCGTCCACCGCAGCTGGCGGAAGATCTGGTACGAAGGACAGATCTCCCTTGCTCGCCGCCGCTTGTGATACCGCTTTCGCCAAGGAGTGGAAAAACGAGTCGTACCCTTTACTCAGGATAGCGGCCTGGATAGTCCTATACGGGTTGCGTGCCTCGACCCCGACGCGTTCGTTACCCTTAGTGTACAGCACGAATTTGTTCACATCGGCATACCCAACAGGCTCGGGAACAAATGCAACAGGAACTGTAGGCGAGTGATTAAGTTTCCGCTGAAACTGCTTGCAGAAGCCTTGGTAGCGGGAGAGCACAACGCTGTTGAAATAAACGTAAAGGTAGTCATCCCAGCTTTGACAAACCTTGAAGGCAGCTTCTGTCTCGCCACAAAGCAATGCATAGACGGCCCGCTCGAAATCTTCGGTTCCTTGGCTACGCGCCAAAGCAGAGCAAGCATTTCGCCAGGTAGTTTGTGACCGCCAATTCATCATGCGCGTAGTTCCATCGTCAACAGGCGTCCGTTCCCCGCGAGAAGAGTTTGCATCCACGCTCGAGCCACACAAGCTAACTGCTCGCCAATTCTCCAGGCAAGATTCTGCCCACTCCCGAATTTTTGTCCAGCTTTCGCCCTGTCTCAACATCTTCCAGCAAGTCATCCAAGTCGCCCGCTCATGGAACTGATCCTGTTTTTGAAGCTTCTGTTTTTGTCGAGTGACCGCATCAGGATCCAATTGGGTAATCATTGACTCTGACTTCTCCGAGACTAAGAGCGAGGCCGTGACAGCTGGATCGTTAGGCTCGAGAGGTTGATGCCAAGCTCGCAGTCGCTTTTGGCCTTTGATAGTCTCCTTGGTATAGAGCCAGCCGTGGGTCCACATCCCTTGACCCCTTTCAGCCTGTGCTTCTAACTCCGAGATTATCGAGTCAATGTCCTGACTTGCTGATTTTGAAGTGTGCTCCAGCCATTTCATGATGATCACGCATTCCAGAGCATAGTGATCAGCACCCACGAACTGTTCCCATATTTCGCGATCGGTCGAGTAGCGGTGAAGATTCTGGAAGGCATTCTCTTGAGCTTGTTTGGCACTAGCCCTGCTTGGAGGATCGTTGATGCTGATTAGATTAAGAAGGAGCTGCCAGGTGTTCGCTTCTAACTGTAATCTTTGAAGTTCCTCCTGTGTCTTGGGATCCTGCCCCGCTGTTCCATTGGTCCGGCTGGTATTCCACCCCATCTTCGCGCGCCTTAGCGTGTTTTGCTTAGAGATATCCTCAATAGAATCATTTGCAAGAGTTTGGTAGCTCTTCACCAATTGGTAGGCAGCTTGGTAATTCTCGAATTCGCTATCACGGTTCTCTTTTTGTTTGAAACGGTCGAGCTTTTCTGCGAACGCCTCGATTTGGCGCGTGACTCGATCCGCGGTCCGGCGAAGAGGATGCAATGCCTGCTGTGCGCCAGCAGATGTGAATAGTTCCGGCGTTGTCATGTCGAACGCTTCTGAAGACCGTCAGCCTTTCACCGGAGCCAGTATCGTTAAGGGATCAACCGTACTGTGACCATTTTGGAAGGGACCAAGGTCTAGCGGCGACTCACTGCCGCCGTTTATTCCGTTCGTCTCCTCAACCGAATCGTTATCCTCCTGCTCCCCATCCTCCTCGTACTCTTCTATCTCTTCTTCTTCTTCCTCCATATCCTCACCATCTTGCTCATTAGCGTCAATGTCTTCTTCGTCATCCATTGGTTCGTCATCATCGTCGTCTATCTCGATGATCTCCGGGTCATTCGACGTCGACCCCCGGGCAGCCTGGGAAAGAGATTAGTTGGCGCACCGCCAAAAGAAGTAGTCGCCAAAACAAATAAACTCACATTTACAGACGTAAAGCCAGCGGACCCCGCGGGCTTTATTAAGGGAGCCATGGCGCGTAAGAATGACCACTGTCGCTGTTCTCAGTAGCGGTTTGCAAGGTGGCTCCGCTTGATGAGAATCTGTAGCTTTAAACAGGGTTTGGGGGGAGAACTTCTGTTCTGCTCGAATGCTGAACGGCGTGTTTTGGGGCCGACCGCCCGCTAACTCTGATTTAGTTTAGCGCCGTCGGCCAGCACACGCATTTAAAAATCCTGAACATTTTTTTCTCGTCCTTCTTTTTTTCTTTTTCTTCATCAAATGTCAATTAGGCAATCATTAGAGTCTCGGAACGAGCGCTTCAATCTTCGTTCAGGTCAATCGGCCTCTCTGCGTGCTCAAGATTGTCTTAGAGGAATTATGGCAATTCTTACAACTAGTCTAGAACCTCCTGACGCATGAGGGCTGAGACTGCAAAGGGGTTGTCACATCGCTTCGTAAATTTTCAATTCTATTCCTCTCTGGAGTACTCTAATGCTGGTCCAGGCTTAACAGCCCGTAGTTTATATATGGGCAGCTGTATGTACAGATCTTGTTGCATTGCAACGGACAAGAAGTATCCATGCAAGAAAAAAAGAGAGCGAGAGTCTCAGTTGTCTTGACCACGTTGTTTCATCCTCAGCTTGAGTAGACTAGGCTTAGGGCAACTGGGCGTCTTTGCATCCTCCCCTTGAGCTTGGTAGAAGGCGTTACAGCATTCATACAGGGCATTTATCTGGGATTGGCACTTTTCTTCCTGGTATGAGTTCTTCGTTAAACAGCCTGCGTTGGTTAGTCATGAGCACCATGAACTATATATATCCGGGGTGGTTGGTGTTTGTAGTACTTTGAATGGCACACTTGGCCTATCAGTAAAGAGTCCAGCATGAATGGCTGAAGGAGGTTACTAGACTTACTGCCCGTGGATGACATGGGGGGTCGTATGCCAGATCCTCCTTTAGTCCTCCCTAGGCCATTGTCATTCCTGGTCCAAGTGGAATATCATATCGTCTTTGTGTTCTCTTACCATGACGCAATAGTATCCAGGTATATAACCAGCAATATCAAAAACAGAGGCGAAAGACAAAGTAAGTTGATGGTTAAGCCAATTGCATATATCACTATGCAATTATAAGAATCATTTAAAGGAAAAACAAACACATGAACCCCCAAGGATAATGAAAAGTGAACTGCCAGAGATTCATTCAACAGAGCAAACAAGCCATATAGTAAGTACTTAAAAGACCGGAATCAGGACTTGCGCCGCAAAATAGATTATCCGTGAGTATTCATTGCCGGTTGGTGGGGGTCGCCTTCCCATCGCCGCCAGCCCATTGATATCTATCCATTCGCTTCTTCAGCTCCTTCTATCTTCTCCTCAGCTGAACCCTTTCCGTCGTCTGGTGTCTTTTCATCATCGCCGAGACCTTGATCACATCTACGTAAGTTCTTATTTAATACCTGTCAACTCTCACTTTCCTCCGACCTGTTGCGACAAAACTACCGCACCAGAGCTGACATTCTACTTAAAACACAGCAATACGCCACCTACTTGACGCTCATCGCAAATACTTTTCGTCCTCACAGTTTCAAAATGGCCGACGCCGGACTCCCTACTGGAGATGCTCCTGCTCCCGTTGAGCACCTCAACATCAAAGTGACTGACAACAACAACGAAGTATTCTTCAAGATTAAGCGTTCGACGCAGCTCAAGAAATTGATGGACGCGTTCTGTGAGCGTCAAGGGAAGCAGATCTCTACTGTCCGTTTCTTGTTCGACGGAACTCGTGTACGCCCGGAAGACACGCCAGACACGGTATGTTTACCTCACCTCTACACCTTGCGCATTCAGATCACTTGGCTAATAGTTGCTTTTTACCCCGCTTTAGCTGGAGATGGCCGACGGTGATACTTTGGAAGTTCACCAGGAGCAGATCGGTGGTTAGGAGGTCCTCCAGATCGTTTTGTTTCACTTCTTGCCACTTCCTTATTTTCGTTCATCCGTCGCATTTTTTGAGACACATAGGCGCAATGGTGTTAGCGTTGGCCCGGTCGGGCTTTAGCTGGGACGGGGTCGCCTACGGGCTTGATTTAAGCTTAGAAAAGCTTAGACAACGAGCGAACTAAAATCATGCTGGACTGTGGATAGGTTATTAAAGTATTACGAATTAACTACTTACGACATAGTATTCTCCCTGGGGTTACGCATGCAAATTTTGGTCGTCGTATCTGAGTCCTACTAGTAGTGTTATTGCCTTTGCCGTTTGTCTAATCCCGATCAGACTCTGAGAAATTTCACACAAAGAACACCAAGTGAAAAAGACAGCACCTTACACCCCTGTACTATACCTCAATATAATACACCTGCGAATGATCCAACCAAAAATTACCATATAAGAGACAAGCGATTACACAACACTATGCATCACCCTCAAAAAAAGAACCATATTAGAAAAAGCCAGCCTCAAGTAGTCAAATATATAGACGGCGAATATAAAGAGAATATCCTAATCATCCCAAACAGCAGCCTTTGCCCGTTCTTCCTCCTCCTTAGCTTTAGCTGCCGCCTCCCGCTCCTGATTCCGCCGCTTTATCTCCTTCTCTTTAACAGCACGGTCATACGCACGCTGCTCCTCTGTCCGCTTCGGGGCCCGAAGCCCCAAAGCACCTGCAATCATTCTCCCCGCAACAGCAGTCTGCTTCTCTGGCCTCCGGGATGGGGACCTGGAATCCGACGTGCGAGACGACACGCCGCCAACATCAGGATACACCGGCACAGAGCTCCATGTCTGGGAGGTCTGGGGGGAGATCGGAGTGGGCGGGGGATCTAAGGGACCCTCTGCGGTGGTGACGGATGGCGACAGCGATGAGCTAGCACATCCTGGGGAGTTGATGTCCGGTTCCGACTCGTCCGCCTCGTCTTCCCATGAATCAGCCACAACAGGGGCCTTCTTCTTGGAAGTTGCTGCCTTGGTCGTTGCGGTTTTCACCGCCGGGCGGGCAATGTCCTTCACGGGACTATTGTTACTGAGGGAGAGTTCGCGGAGGGATGATTGGAGCTCCGTGGTGGTGGCTTCTGAAATAGACATTAAGGGCGGTTTGTCAGTGAAGTTGGAATGTATAATAATAATAGGTAGAAATATAAGTGTAAGAAGGGGTTAGGAGTGTGTAAAGTTGAGATAGGAGTTTCCAAAGAGCGGGCCAAGTATAACTCTTTGGATTGGAAGGGAAAGTTAAAAGTAGCTGAGGCCACACAGGGTCAATGGTTGCGAGGAAAATCACGGACCCTTGGATTCTGGACCGGGCTTTGCTGCCATGTCAATTGTTTCTCTTAATAGTCGGCCAGATGGTCGGAGTCGACAGCCGTTTCAAAGATCCGCAATTGACGGGAAAGAGGATATTAATAGCATTGGAGGTGGAAATAATGAATGTCGTCAGTCGTGGAGAAGTTGAACCCCACCATTCCTTTCGGCCGCCGCCTTCCATTGGTCTGTGCCGGAGATGTCCAGAACAGTCGCTTTGTTCATGAAATTCACGGAGTAGGTCTTTTGGGGGAGGAACACCTGATTAGAACACCTGATGACGGGACGAATCCTTTACAATACCAACCCAACGCAGGAGACTAATTATCTGCCTGCATGCCACTTATGATTCTATATTCTTCAATGTTTTTTTTTTTAAAAAAAAAATTATTTTATTTATTTTCTCTTGGAGTTTCCCATCGGTTATGCTTGAGAGCATTTCTATTTTTCTGTTGGTACATACATACTACCTCCAAATCAATTCCCGTTGACCAACCCTCGAAAGCTACATCAGTCGGTCCAAGTCGCTGGGTGAGCCTATAACCATCCATATCCTGTAGCTACCGAGAATATCCCCGTTCATGATATCTGTTGTTGTCTCCTGAAGCTATATGTACAAGGTTTTTATGAGCAAATATGACTTCATTCTGAGGCAAATCTCATTATTGAAGGCTCCTGACCAATCGCAAATCATCCTATTCTGCTTTTGCTTGTATATGAAAGTCACATGGGCAAGATGATCGACAGTGTGCCTTGAAATCACCCCGGATTGACATAGTTCCAATCGCAAAGGTCAAAAAAGGGTATGAACAAAGAAGAAAAGACTAACTTAACATGGTAGGCATCCATGCTTATACACAATATTTTCATGCCGAACCACAACTTTGGCCCGGGTACGCAATCTTGGATTGTGGGGAACAGAATTCTTACCTAGCAACTATCAAGGTGTGTCGGCAACTCGATACACCAATTTAACGCCGCTCACATTCCCTTGTTGCACCAACCCCACACCGTTCAATACGCCTCGCAAACCTCCTTCACAGATTCTGATTGGATGGGGCTTCAACTTGTTTTCAGCGAGAAGTGTTTCCGTCAACCGGGTGAACATCTTCGCAAAATCAAAGTCCTCAGCACTTGCCGGAAAATGTTTGCCGTACAAGTGGAATGGCTCGCCCCGGAACGTCATCATGATGCTCCGGGTACAGGCGACATCCTGTCGTGGGATATCATTGAGAAGAATCGTACCGTATCGACACCCGGGCTTTGTTGACAGAGCGGTCATGCAGGTTCGAACTCCTTGATCGGAGCCGATTGTATCCCAGACCAGCTGGAGGTCCCCTTTCGTGTAACGATGGATCTCCTCCCCACATGATGGATCGCTATAGTCAAAGACTGCTTCAGCGCCGCGTGATTTGACCAGATCTACATTCCTAGGAGAGCAAGTTGTAAGGACAGAATAGCCGGCCCTATAAATTTTATGAGAAATCCGCATACTCATCTCAAATCAGCAGGACACGGGCTTACAGCTTTGCATATTGGATAGCAAGAGTTCCCGCTGACGTACTACCACCGTAAATCAGGATGTACTCTTTCTCTTCAATAGGCTTAAGAGGAAGATTCAGCCCCAGTTTCTGAAATAGGCCTTGACCACATGTAATCGCGCTGACGCCGATACCAGCCGCTTCTTCGAAGCTCATGCCATCCGGCATTCTCATGCAGACATCTCCCTTTACAACGATAAACTCTGCGAATGACCCATCATCTAGATTCCGGCTATTAGCGCCATGAGTACAGCCGCATACCCGGTCGCCTTTATTCCAACGCTTGGTGACAGCTGGGCCGATGTCCTCGACTCTACCGGCGAAGTCGCAGCCAGCTAGGCCGTTCTTGGCCCCCCTTCCCTGGCTGATCGCCTTGCAGTCAGTCGGATTCAGGGCAACGGTCACGGTTTTAATGAGAAGGTAGTCGTCACGGAGCTTAGGGATAGACCGTGAGCTCACCAGTGTAGCGTTTGTACCATTCAGAACAATGGCTTTCATTTTGAAAGTAGATGATAATTGTATCTTTGCGCATTGAACGGCATGTTGAAACAGGCTATGGGTTTCGTTGCGTATAATAGCTACGGCTACTAAGTATTGATAGAATGGAATTAGTCATGTCATGCACTGAATCATTGTATGCTTTGGTAATCTTGCGTTATTGGTTTGTAATCAGCGAATTTGCCCTCTAGCCTCATGTACCTGCACGGTTTTAGTTGGTAACGTGGTAGATAAACCAATTAGGATTGATCATCTAGATTTTATGTACTATGCGTGTCTAATCTTTCCATTCTACTCTACAGGCAAGCGACTCTAATTATTCAAAGCCGTTAAGGTTTTAGGCTAAAGACTAGGGTTCGCATCGTGGCGATTAGAGGACTACTATAGTACAAGGAGTAAATATCGTCTGGAATACCTTTCATATAACCAAAGAATATATTTTCGACGCATGTTTGTCCATTCATATATATATGTCTTTCAAAGGTGTTATTATATATACCTTGGTCTTAAAAATGTTTAGACTTCCGCAAATCAGTTATGTCCTCTTGGGAACACACACTCCATCAACGAGATATTAAACGTAACTCCCATAGTAAATCATAACTCACAAATCACCACAACCATACCAACATTCAAAAGACTCCCATGATTGATTCTATTCCTCACCGCCAAGAAACATAGAACAGGTTCCGAGTGACAACACGGCACCACAGTTCCGAGACGACCAATCATGCCCCACCATGGGTGCCCGCAAAACCTCGGAAACGATCGGTGAGGAGTCCGAGACCGGCGGACACCCTCTCCAGGTCGACTGATCTCCCGAGGTATTGTTTCTCCTCTTCTAATGTACCCCCCCGGGCACTGCGTTTTCTCCCCTAGATTGTATTGACACTGGACACTGACCTGTGGACAGTTTAAGGGGGTTAAATTCCGACAATATATCTCCATTACTGGCCATTATCAGGCGGATATCGTCAGGGTGGCTACTTAGGTACACAGAACGTGTGCCCGGGCACTTTATTGATACATCCACAATTAGTATTCGAGACGCGAAATGACGAACTTGCGATCTCTCCCTGCGCGGGCGCGGAGAGTGCCCCTTTCACTGGTATCTGGGAGACAGACGAATGGTTTCTCTACCTCGTCGCGGAGTTACTCCTACGCTGATACGCTTCCAAACTTGAAGATCGGGGCCCATACCAGGGTTCTGTTTCAAGGGTTTACCGGTGAGATAATCTTTGTTTAATGAAGTTTCCGATAAAATATACTAACATGGATCTACAGGCAGACAGGTACTGTAAAAACTACCTAAATGTATAGCCAAACAGAAATAACTAACCAATCAGGCCACTGCCAACGTAAAAGAGTCTTTGGCCTGGGGAACCAAGATCGTCGGAGGCGTAAAGCCAGGAGTCGAAGGCGAGCACCTCGGACTTCCTGTATTCCCCTCCGTGAAAGCGGTACAATTTCCTCCTCACAACTGCGTAAATCATATACTTATTATTGAAATAGGCCCAAGAACAAGCGAAACCGGATGCATCTGCTATCTACGTACCGGGGAACCAGACGGCAAAGGCAATTGAAGAAGCCATTGAAGCTGAGATCCCTCTCGTTGTGGCTGTGGCGGAGCATGTGCCTATTCATGACGTTCTCAGAGTATGAGTTCTATTCTATAATGAATGCTTAGTTACTGGCTCATGCTTACATTATCCACAGATCCACTCCATGCTCCAGACACAGTCTAAAACGAGGCTAGTCGGGGCAAACTGTCCCGGTATCATCTCTGCAATTGGGAAGTGTCGAATTGGATTCCAGCCGTTGCCGTGCTTTTCTCCGGGTAAGATCGGTATTGTTGCGAAATCGGGAACTTTGAGCTATGAGACTGTTGCGTCGACTACACGAGCAGGTCTAGGGCAAAGCCTCTGTATCAGTATGGGTGGTGACGTCTTGGCTGGGACTAACTTCGTCGATGCTCTGAAGATTTTCGAGAATGACCCTGATACAGAGGGTATCATTCTCGTGGGCGAAATTGGTGGAACGGCGGAGATTGACGCAGCAGAATGGATCAAAGAATACAACAGAAGAACTACGAATCCTAAGTATGTGCCCTGTACCTCGATCTACTACTTACTCTGATGTTGACTGCAATACAAGGCCGATCATGGCCCTAGTTGGTGGTTTGCACGCTCCTCCAGGACGAATCATGGGTCATGCAGGCGCATGGACTGCCATTGGCGAACCAGGTGCAGACGTGAAGTACCAAGCCCTCGAGCGCGCCGGCGCAGTCATGGTTAACCACCCAGAGAAGTTCGGAGAAGGAATGAAGACTCTACTGAATAGTCGACCAAGGCTTCAGAACACTACTGTAACTTCCCAAAGTATCCTATATAAAACAAGGTACTAACGATATCACAGACTACCAGCACCCCATACCAGAAAAGAGCCCTACACACAATGAGACGTGTATCCCTACAAAAGAGCCAAAGAGCGCCAGCATCGAATCAGGCCCGATCCCTCTTCATAAAGCAGTTTCAGGCCCTGGAAATGTTAAAAGAAAAGTCCATTTCAGTCAACGAAACAGAACCCTCAGAATCCGACATCTTTCTAAATCTTACGGTTGATAGAACCGCATTATCACCCTGCGTTATAGCTTCAACAGTTGCCGATTTCGTGCCGTCGCACACTGTCAAATTTCCTTTCACCTACTCTAACACAGACTTCAGCAGTGGCAACTCACCAATCATCAAATCTATCGCCTCTCACTTTCATCTCCCCGAAGCCACACACGAGAAACTAGCAGAACTAGTCCAGGCACTGTGGCAAATATTCAAGGAAAAAGAAGCCTATCTATTAGAAGTCCGGGCAAACCCATCTACAGAAGGACTCGAAGTCCGAGGCGCACGTTTCGGCTTCGACGACGCCGCATTCCGAAGCTCAGGACGCCAGAAGGAAGTCCACAGCCTGCGGAACCCGGCAGAAGAAGTGCATGAAGAAGTCGAAGCAGAGAAAGACGGCATAGTCTACGTGAAGTATTTTTCTAGTCCCAACAATCCCACGGCCGAAATATGGAACTAACACACCACAGATTACAGGGAGAAGGCAGCATCGGAACTCTAGGTACATCATTCTACGAGTCCAAATAAAAATGATCGAACTAACACAAACAGTAAACGGCGCCGGACTCGCAATGAACACGGTTGATGCACTCACAATTTATGGCGGCCATTGTGCCAATTTCCTGGATACAGGAGGCAAGGCAACATCTAAAACGGTCAAGTCGTCGTTCCGGATTATCACCTCAGACCCGCGGGTGAAGGCTATCTTTGTCAATATCTTTGGGGGGCTGACGCGGTGTGATATGATTGCCGAGGGCATTATCATGGCCTTTAGGGATCTGGATATGATTGTTCCGGTGGTGGTGCGATTGAGGGGGACGAATGAGGAAGAGGGACAGAAAATGGTGAGTGCATGCTGTGATAGATGGATGAGTGTGAGTGATACTAACTGTAGAAGATCGCTGAGAGTGGGCTTCCGCTTCATGCGTTTGATAGTTTTGAAGGGGCGGCGAAGAAGGTGATCAGCTTAGCGGGAGGAAAGCCGTCGAATTAGTGCCGAGATATTGGAGCATAAAGCTTTGTATATGTGAAAGCTAGGATGTAGATAGAGTATAGTGTGTTGGACAGCGGAGTAGGGCGTTCCCTGGAAGATGCCAAAACTAGTTGTTGAATATAGAATGACATAGTTCTTTATATACGTTAAATAAAATTTGGTGACTAACACCTTCAGACCGTTTTTTCCCTCTCATTCGCACTGAGCCCAATGATCATGACAGAAGAGGACTTGCTAGCTATGGCAACACGGCTTCCAAAAGTACATGTACGAGCCCTGTATTCTACAGGTAGGTGTATAAGTTTCTTGTCTCCCTCCATGACCCAGTTATCATGCACGTATACCCCTGTCCCTACCATCTTATCATTGCACAAGTCGGGGTCGGCCCCGAGGATCGAAGAAACTTCAAATTGACCTTCATTGGTGCAAAGGCACGTTCCATCCCCAGAGAAGACCATAAGCTCAACACATCCATCGATTGAACGTTGCCCGAGACATGTACCGGTAGAAGTATCCCACAATTTGATGGAATGTTCTGCCGATGCAATCATGTTCTCACTTGGGGAGAATGCAATGACTGGACGTCTTTCTTCATGATCTATGGAGTGAATCAGGTTTCCTGTCTGTATGTGTCGAAGCTGGAATGAAGAAGATCCATAGTAAGTCGACGCTATGAAACCTCCATGGGGTGAGATTTTATTATCCCTAGTGATGTATCCTTCTGTGAATGTAAGGAGAGGTTCTGCCGAGGTCAGGCTCCAGAGATCAATACGACTCGTGTCGTTTCGGTCCTGGAAACATCCGGTCACCACCAGTTGACCATCGTGTGATATTGCCATGTCCGATAGTTTCCAAGGGTCCCTTCCAAGTTCAAGCTTTTTTAGAACCTTCCACGTCTGTATATCCAAGACAACACATTGCCCATTATACGTTCGGTATGTTATAGTTTGACTGTCGGCTGAGAACCTTATACTCCGAACCTCAGAATCATCCACCGCTCGCAGACTTTTCATATGCCTTCCTGATTGCGCTTCCCAAAATCCGATGGTGCCATCCTTGGCGGCCGATGCAACAACAGTACCATTCGGAGCAAAGCCTAAATCAGTAATAGTATCCTCATGCACATCATCGAACGCCTCTGAAACTTTTGATGATCCATTCCAAATCGTGATCTCTTCTGCCCAGCATGCAGAGGCTGCTATTGTCTCACCATCTGGCGAAAATGCAAGTGCATCTAACACTCTACCGGAGAATCTGTATATTTCCGTCAAGACTCCCGGGATAAGTGTCCAAATCTCTTTCGGTTTATCGCCCACCGAAGAAGCCGCGAATTCACCGAATCGTGGGAATGATGCCCTTCCGCAATATTGGTTGGAATTTCCTGACTCCCTTATATGGTGTATATTGTCTCTGAACTCATTTGTAGTCCAATCCCACACGTTGACTTGACCGTTTGTTAAAAGAGAGAGAATGGTTTTACTATCAGGTGAGAAACCCGCGACCAAGGTTTTGTTGTCAGTATTGTTATACGAATGCAAAATATTTGCCGTGCAATCCCATAGCTCAACTGTGCCATCATTGGATGCAATCAACAAGTTCCCTTCAGGAGAGAATTCGATAGTACGGACCCCCTGTCGCCTATGAGTGTGTAAAGTCATCCCCTGTGAAACATCCCAAACTATAACATCAAAAACAGACCAAGATGCTATGAATCTGCCATCAGGGGATATGGAAACCATGTCGCTTTTATTATCGGGTATTTCTTGTAATAGACTCCCTGATACCAAGTCCCACACCTTGATCTTTCCGTTAGATATAGCTGCGAGCCTTTCGCCGTTTGACGAAAATATCACGAAAGTTATCGCACTTGAATCAGATTCGAGAAACGTTGATCTCCCAGTGTGTGTATTCCAGAGGCGGACGGACCCGGCCTCCGATACGGTTGCCAACTGTTTGCTGTCTGATGAAAAGGCAGCATCACGAATGTTATCTTGATCTTCAAACGATTTCAGACAAATCCAAGTTGACGTATCCCATAACCGACACACATGTGAGTACATATACGAAGATACCACCACCATTAGTCTGCTGTCAGGTGAGAATTTTAAGCGTTTGATGGTCTCACCGCGTGGTTTTGGGATGCTATGCAGTAATGGGCTCCAATATTTTTGAGCACTTGGCTTCTGAGATATCCAAGCAGGAATCTCTCCTCCAAACTCACGTCGAATGATACTTTCCTGCGGTGCAAAGAGCAAAGCAGATATGTAAATTTGTAAAGGGGTTCCCTCATACACTGACCTGAAGCTGACAGCAAACCGTCGTGCATCTTGAACAAGTCTTCGCATTTTTGCGCTGGTCCCCAGCTACATCCATTACCATAGGTCCAGCGCAGAGATTATATCGTACTTACCTGAAGAGTGACTAAGTTGTTTAATATCATGATCGCGATCGGGATCCTTCCCATAACAGCCATTGCTTCAAGCCAATGGACAAAGTGTGTTCTTAGGAAGTCATAGAGCACTGTGTCATCAGACGCCACAATATCGCTCTGTTGAAGATGGTCCACCCAGTGACTACAGGCATACCGAACCTGCTCTGGAAGGAATTCATGCACGACTGAAGGTTTTATGTCTGTCACTTGAGTACCTGGGTCCTTAAGGCAGCATATATCACGTCGTAGGGCATTAGACATGATCTTCAGGCAGTACCGGTAAATTTCACGATGCGCTTGTTTCTCATCGATGCAAAAGTGGCTATCTTTGCATCGCTGAGAGGATAGAAGAAAATCCCTGAATGATAGATGTAACAATTTAATGGGGCCGTGATCACCGTGGGGCATTTCCAGGACCGAATAAAGGTGCTCCATAAGCCATCTTGTGTCACTAAGCTCGACTTCAACAAGCCTGCTTAGGGCTATGATGGAAAGTGGTCTGGATAGAACAAGAATGGGGCCAACTACCTGTTTAAATAAGTCGGACATCGCCTGGTCGTTGTCCACTTCTCCGGTAAGCACGACCTGGAGGATTCTAGTGTACATTCCATCCAGGCCCACATCACCGTCAAATATCCTCCCTAGGCGATCTTCAATTGTCTTTCTGTTAGCCATTGAAAGAAAACGACATGCTGTGGCTGCATAAATGAACAGTCCATCTGCTTGCTCAGCCAGTTTTTTGACCCTCTCCTCTCCAGGCCAGTCCCGCGGGAGATCATGCTTTCTTCTAACTTCCCACAATCTATATTCAATTAGGCGGGTAATGTCATCCACTCTCACTCCATCGCCATCTAGGTGTCGAATTTTATACACGGTTTCATCACGAATTCCTTCTGGTATCTCATTGAATCGACGACGCATATGTATTTCAGGACGACTAGTAATGAGTATCCGAACTCGCACAGTCGTTAAGTCTCGAACTTGACTGAGTAGAGCCAGGATATCGCTGATGTCATCCTGATCCTCCCTAGTTCCAGCTTGACACTCGTCCAGTGCATCAAGAACGAAAAGTATTGTCACAGGGAGCGTTGTCTTCAGCATCTTCAGAGGGTTGAAGATCAAATGTTTCCACTGGCCATCTAAGGATCCTGCATAGGTAGCATGATGGCTACGAATACCATCACATAAAGATTGCTGAATCTCTGGTAGAACATCAACTAGGTCTCTAGCCAAGGTAGGAAAGAGTTTCCTAGGGTCCCTACAGTTCTCATCCCTATGGTCGAAGAAAAAACTACCACCAAGACACGCCTCATTGGGTAGTGTTTCCTGACCTAATAAAGATGTTCCGTTGTAGAACGCAGAAGCCACGGTTCGGGCAATTGTAGACTTGCCAGTACCGGCCATACCCTGGAGCCACAGGATAGGCTCTCCCTGGGCATCGTTACTCCAATTTTGAACTAGTTGAAGTAAAGGCACCTGAGTACCAACAAGGCATGTTTCCCTAGCTTGTTCATAAGAGCCAAAGGCAGCGCGCGTAACCGGATGGAGGGTATTCAGCTGATCTTTAGCTGCTTGAGTCTGTATTGATCAACAAGTAAGTTATGACGTGTGGACGGTAAACATCGAAACACTATGTATCTTACGTTGATAGTGTCAATAACAATGTTCAATTGCCTTTCGACCTCACGTTTCATCAAGGTAAGTTCGGCATGAATCTCTTGGACCGTCTTCTTTGACCAATCCCCTAATATATCTTCGATCGATTTGTCGGTGCGCTTGATTTCAGTGAGCATTTCCTTCCAGTCATCAGCGGTCGCAATATCTCTCATGTATTGGCAAAGTCCAGAACGAGAGAGTTGCTTTGTCAGTCGGATCTGGTACTCCAATACCTGAGAATATAAAGTTATAGTTCTTTCCCTGAGCTGAAGGCCAAATTTGGATCTATCCTCAGGAGAACTATATGATGACCTTAGAATATGACTCTAACTATATTGCCAGGTAGATCCTGTAATTCAACAGTGAACGGTAGAGCAAACCATGTATGTACCTTTTACCCAGGACGTCCATAAAAATTCGAACATGGGAGTTCTGGATGACCTGATATCTGATCAAAAGATCTGAGATAAACTCGAGTCCTGCCACAGCATCTTCACGTTGTGTAAAGGGTTTCAAAAACAGCTTAAAGATGATTTTAGTGTTATGCCCTTGAGAATCAAAGAAAAAATGAATCACTTACTGGGAGAACCATCACAACTCCAGCCCATGCAAGCGCAGCATGGGGTTCAGCGCTAATTGCTGCTGTAACGAAGTCTTTCGCATAGAGAATGCCATGAACAGTACGACGAACATAATCCCCGATAACACCTTGCCTACTTCTTCTCGGAATATCGAACCGACCTTGTTCTATATCCTGAAGTTTACAGAAAACAAGGTCTTGGATTCTCCTTTGTCGATCCGTTTTCACCTGCTTAGTTGGAGATCGTTCAATTATCTGATCGGACTCAGTAGCCAGCAAGACCTTCTCATATGATTCGATTAAATTGGCATTGTCGCTGTGGAGTTTCTTATATGCCTCACTCCACAGATCCTTCATCACCTTTTCACCTAGCCTCGCAATATTCGCTTCGCCTTGCCTTTCTTCTTCTCCTTTGACCGGGGCCCCTTGCGCAGACACAATTGATCCTCCCGAACCGCTTACTTTTCTTTTGCTGGTGTCAGGTTCATCCTTACACTCTGTTTGACTCAAGTATGATTGAGTGTTTGCTCCATCTTGAACGATTTTTGTGGGCTTTGTTTCTGCATCTTTATTTTTATTGCGATGGGAGACCCTGAACCATGATATCGAACGATGACGCCTTGAATTACTGATTTGTAAATGGTCGTCTGGTGACTCCGAACGTGTGCCATGTCCATGGGAGGTAATAAGCCCAGCAGCGGCCGGAGGCGATGGTTCTTTGACATAATGGCATTGAGCTGGGTATATATAACCTGAATCTAATGGAAGAAGCAGCTCATAGTACACCATGCGCAAAGATTGATGCTCCGAAGCTTTCTTAGCCTCGCAATGTGTGGACCGATAATACAGAAGCCAGTTAGAAGCGCCGGTGCTTTTCGCAAAAAGAAGGGGTAGACATCCATGAAAGGCCCCAGACATGAGGGGTTTCACCGTTTGCTTGACGTGTCAGCTCAGCCTAGCTCCCCGTGCGTATTATACTACCCCACCTTTCCCCTTATCTGTCCTCTCAGCTGCGTTAGTGGAATCACACTGCAGGCTACCCTGCCACAGTCTATAGTAAGACTAAGTACATATTTCCACAGCATGAGGTAGATTCAATCCTGCATGGCGGATGAAACCATAACATAGTGAGGACCGAGAGACCCTATATGAATTAAGTTTGTATACCTCGGCCCTTAACCGTAACTCCGAATTAAATAAAAGGCTAGGGTTGCATTTCCGTATGCGCTAGTGGAGCTGGGCATGTATCTAGCCGATGCGCCGTCAGATAAACATGAACGACTGTTAGTCGTTTTAACTCACAAGGGACCCTCCCAATGGTGGAAATCCAGCCAACGCAGATATCTGGATGGCTACTGTCGAGTTCTTCTTTGAGGGCTTGAATGGTTTATCATGTTAACTCGATAACTCAAGCCATGGGAAAGCAACCCTGTGCCTGATGAACTGTCCTCTGCGCTTGGCTGTATCTTTTCGAGGCCGCGCGAGAGACCATATAATGATGTCTAGACTTGGCTTCTTGTGCCCAAGCTTTATCCCCGGTCAATAGATTAGTGACACTGCTGAGGTCATCCATGTAGCTCAATGCCTTGATTTGCAGACGAGCCCTAGGGAAATACTAATGTAGTCATCGGCTATTAATAGTTTATCAGTAGACAGAAGAACCATCAACGCAAGACATTGAGTCTCTGTAGACGATAGAGGACTGTGCATTAAAATTTTGATGACTTTTGACTGTTGTTGACTGAGATATCCTCAATTACTGGGAAGATATGGCAGGGTATCGCAGAGACAGAGTGGGGTTCTGAACCCCCAAATACTGGCCAAGACTCTCTATACCTTTCGATCGCTTGTCTTTATTAGAGCTCCGATAGAAGACCCCACGTAGAGTTGGTAGATTTAAGTTGCGATCCTTCTTCAAAATCTACCTGGCAGTGAGTGGAGTACCCGGGCTGATGTAGAGTCTGGGCTATCGGACGACAATCTCCAAACGATCTGTAAGTTCGTATGATGGACACCGATTGGCTTCGGGGTTTGTTTCACTTCAAGAGCACTTGGTGCGATGAATGGATAGTGTGTTGATGCCGTGTTCTATCCTAGTGTTAGTACGTGGGGGAAGTCTCTGTTGAGATAAGTACTAGAAGAGGAATATAGATAGTAGGGGAAGAGCAAGCTAAGGTCATGATGCAGGGCCCATGTGACTTGGTTTTACACCGTTAAGCAGTTCTACTAGGAAACAAGAAGAAAGGGGCGGGAAAGAAAAACAAAGAAATTAAGAAAAACAAAGAAAAACCGAAACAATAAAAAAAATTCAGGTATGACAATTGTTCAAGCCAAGAATGTATATCCAAACACCTGGCTGATCATGATGTTAATTATTTAGTCAAATAAATTATGATTATGCAGCAGCATACGCACACCGAAGCAACCAAACCCCCGCGATCGGCGCCCCGCTGTTTCAGTCTTCGGCATTGACAGCCCACGTCCTTTCCTTTTTACCCCTCCTGATTCCTCATCACAATACTTAAAAATATATATCTTCAATCTCCTGAATTGCTTTCTTCCCTGAAATCACTATCTTCATCCATTCCACCATCAGCCCTCCCTGACAATGTCTACGTAAGTCCATACTTCCCTCCCCTTCCCCACCATGCATATACCCCTCCATCCCGTAGTCAACTAACATGATCACCAAAAGAAACATCACTTTCCACGCCAGCGCCCTGACGCGCAGCGAACGCAGCGAACTCCGCAACCAACGCGGTCTCACAATTTGGCTCACCGGTCTCTCCGCCTCGGGCAAATCTACCATTGCCGTCGAGCTCGAACGCCAGCTCCTCCGAGACCGGGGAGTCCACGCCTACCGTCTCGACGGTGACAACATCCGCTTCGGACTCTGCAAGGACCTCGGCTTCAGCGAGAAGGACCGCAACGAGAATATCCGTCGGATTGGGGAGGTCGCCAAGCTCTTCGCCGACAGCGCCACCATCGCTATCACCTCGTTCATCTCGCCCTATATCGCGGACCGTCAAATCGCGCGCGACCTGCACGAAGTCCCCACCCCGGGCGAGGAGACCGGTTTGCCCTTCATTGAGGTCTTCGTTGATGTTCCCGTTGAGGTTGCCGAGAAGCGTGACCCCAAGGGTCTCTATAAGAAGGCCAGGACGGGTGAGATTCAGAATTTCACTGGCATTAGTGCGCCTTATGAGAAGCCTCTCAAGCCTGAGATACATATCGAGAATTATGATTTGCCGGTTGAGGATGCCGTGAAGCAAATTGTGGATTATTTGGATGCCCAGGGTTACTTGCCTCCTAAGAAGGAGTAGATCCTCTCTCGTGTATCTCATTTTTTCGTTGCATGTGGGTTTGTTCTTGTGGATATTTGCGAACTAAATCTGTTAAATCGGTGATCTATATATAGAATTTTACTCCTCTTTGGGGTCTTGGATTGTGTTTCATTCAAGATATTCAAGAGTATGATGCGAAGCAAGTAAGCAAAGTATATACGCTACAAAACAAGGTATCAAGTGTACCGTACCCAGACAGATATCCACAGGATCTTACCCCCTAATTGAGCTCGAACTCATAATACACGTATGCCGTGTATTCGCCGCCTCCTTCGTGTACTTCACTCGGGTCGTCTTTCTTGACCCGACCCTTCTTGTCCCGTCCGAACGCATTCCCGGCGAGGTAAGAGTACTTCTCATCCAGATTATGCTTCGCCTTGTCAGCTTGCTTGGAACCCGGTGTCTATATCATGTTAGTCCTAAACCGTAAAGACCACTGACTATGAGTACATACCCGGATAAGAGTGCAAACGAAGTCGAGAGGAAGACCGTAGCGTAGCACGGTCTCAACAAACACACGAAGAACGAGAACATGGATCCAGACCATGACGGCCTCGCTCCAGGCTGTCCGTCCGAGCCGCAGTGTCTCGCCCCAGAGCTTGCGCTCGTCGCCTCCTACGCGCTCGACTTCCCTGCGCTCCTCTTCCTTTCCACCTTCCACGTACTTGAATTCACGGGGAATCCACTTGTGTTCACGGGCCTTGTGGACAAACTCCAAGCTGTGTTTCTTGAACGTCGTGACAGCATACAGCGTGAACTCGTCATCCGAAGCGACAAACGTCGCAGACCGGGGGACCACCATGGGCGAAACGGTTTCGTACGTCTTGAGGAACTCTTTGATCTGTTGGGCCGGGACGGCGACGAGGTGTGTCTCGAGGTATTCCGAATTCTGGACTACACTGCGGGGGTCGACAACTGATGCGAGGGACTTAGTGGCCAGGTTACCTCTACACTAGGCGTCAGTATCCTGTAGGTATAGATTAAGGAGTATCGCACGTTTGCTTTCGTTGAAGAGTGGCCAGGGTGGCCTTGACTTGATTGTATTGGGAGTACTTCGACCTGATGTCATTGTCGATGCTGGCAGCTTCCTATTCACAGTTAGATGCCACAAACAGCCAGTTGAGCATTTCAAGAAGCATACCTTCTGGAGAAGGTCGATAAGCTCACCCAAAGACTTATCGGCCCTGTACTTGACTTTGTTCCACGTAAAGGTCCGCAGGTACTGATCCACCGGCTCTAATGATTCAATGTTAACATCTTGTTCAATGCCGATTCACCGGTCTGGAGAAAAACATACTATCATTCACAGCCTTCATCTTGCTGATTTGCGCTTCGTCACCCTCCAAGATATTCTTCAGCGCATCGCCGACCTTGGACACAACACCCTGACAGGCGGTCTCGAGTTTGGCCAGCTCATCGGCCTGCTGCACTAAGGCGTCTAATGTGCCGATCTTGAACTCGGGAATGGGGAATGGGGCGACCGAACCATTTTCCGGGGCGACAGTGGCGGAGACAGCGTCGAGAGCGTCGTCGCGATGGTGAGAGGAGGTGATGGAGGTGGGGAAGGACACGAGGAGGTACTTGGTGGGTTTAGACATGGTGACGAAAGATCCCACTTGTACTGGCGAGAAGGAGTTTAATCGAGTAGAAAGTAACGACCTGTTGCCACGCTCAGCAAGCGGGCATGAGGCAGTCGGATGGAGAAAGCGGGCAAGGAGGAGGGAAGTTGGGAAGGCTGGCCGTCGGTCAGTGTCGTGGAGTTAAGGTGTTGGAGAGCTTCCCAGTTGCGGATCCCGGGAGGCGGTCGGCGGCGCGTTTAAGGTCCCGCCTTTTAAATTATGTAGTAGTGCTGAGCTGACGTATGTTTACCACCTTGTCTATAAGTAAAATCAGCCAAATCCTTTTACAGTGTGCAGTATCTCATGTTTTGTTTTGCCCGTCTACACATGTGGTTCAAAACTTGCAGTCGGCCATGTCCCCAAGGAAGAAGTATGGTCAATTAAAGCATATATGAATTGCCCCGTTGTGATACTGCTAGGCTACATCTAACCAAACAAAATACTATACAGTCACTATATACAGTTGCACTGAAACAAACCAGTCTCTAACCGTCTATACGCCTATCCAATAAATGCATATGTCATTTTATATCAATTCTCGGAAATCGGTCTGGTCTCAAGTTAGCTGAGGCGCTAGTTAGTGATATTATATAGACTCGACATGGCCTGGAAAGAAAGGATATTAGCTTTCAGAGTCTCGATTTCTTTGGGCGGATAAACATACCGCGGCTTGCTTGGGTTCTATAAACAAGGCCTTTGCCTCAACCAAAACCGCGGGTTCCTCTCCCTCCTTAGGCAGAGTCTCAATGCGCGCCTCCACCCAGGCTTTACGACCTTCGACCTTCACAGTCTCGGCCCGCAGAACAGCATAGGATTCTGCCATGGCAGGACGCCGATAGTCGATGTTTAGATTGGCCGTTACGCCCACCTTGTTCGGCAGAGCGGGGAAGCAGCACCGTGCCATCCCCTCGTCGAGCAGTGTGGCCAAAAGACCACCGTGGACAATGCCCAGGTGGCCACTGATGGCGGAACCGAGGTAGAAGATCGAAACCAGGCTCTTCCCATCCTTCTCGGAGAAGACATGCGGCGGAACAACAATTCGATCAGGACCTGAAAGGGTGCCTGCCGTCAGATGGCGGTCGCGCAGCTCGGCGGGGATTTTCATATGCGGCCGGGACTCGGTGAAGGCAGGGTTCTCCCGCAGCGCCACGGCTACCGGATGGTTGCGGATGAATTCATCGACCTCTTGCGAGAACTGGTCGGGAGGAGCGAATGCGGTGAGAGTTTCCTCATCTGTACGCAGAGTGACCGTCATCATGCGAGAAACGGTCTTCTGGGTTTGGTAAACGAGTCCGGCAGTGAAGGCGACTAATGCAATGGATGTAAAGCCCACAAATCGGCGTAGACGAGAGCGAGGCTTAGATGTCTGAGGAGATAGTGGTGATGCAGCTTCTGAAGCCGGGGACAGAGTGATTAGCAGTGAAACACGAGGTGAGGGATGGGATGCAGTACCAGAAGAATAGAGTCGCTGGGAGAGATTGCGAGGTAGAGAAACCTTCCAAGGGGGATGCACGAGCCACTGGGCTTTTATAGGACCATTTGACTTGAGACAGAACTTGGTCGTGGTGGGGACAGCCCGAGAGAAGACTGACGAGGGGACTCGCGGCATGGCGACAGTGAGATCTAAGCTCGCACTCCAGGATGGCAAAAAATCGAGTTCGTCAGAAGGGCTCTCAGCCACAAAGCAGCCCTGATGGGGAGCTCAATTGGTATCTCGGGAGCTCCTGGTGGAAGTCTTCTGCTTATCTGACACCCCAACCGAGTGGTAAAGGACTGATCCCCTCAACAAGGCCTGAAGATTGGGTGTCCGGGGGCTCTTCTGATTGGCGACGGCGGTAGGGGCAGCGGATCACTGGACTTTTAAACCTCGGCTCATTTTGAAACTCTTCCTTTCATCATCACCAACAATCCTCGGTCCTGTACCGAAGTCATGCGAAACTGTTGAGGCTCAGTAACAACACGGGTGATAAAGGTTTTTTTTTATGAGTGTGACAGTCCAGGTGTATTCCGTCCGCCTTCGAGAATATTCGAAAATGTACCTATCATATTGCTTCACAACAAGCGTCGCCCGAACGGAAACTAAACTGGAAGATCATCTGAGGCAGATCAACGCCTTTCGGTGGCCCCATGATGGCTGTTTATATTATCGCAACTATTGAACATAAATGAGCTTTTAGCGCCACGTCCTGCGGGAAACCGAACTGATCACAGCCCGAACCATTCAGAGGCGTCGAACATATCCTAGTGCATTGATCAGCAGGGGCATACATATCGTTGAAATTAACGAAAGAATGCCAGTTGCCAATATCCAAACATGAGGACCATGCGCAGTAAAGACCTGCATCTATCACTAGTAGAATCATGGGGTTTTCCCTGGAATCCATTCCCCCCCTAGATGGCATGCATAAAGTGCCTCTTACCCAGCATGCCAGGAAGGAGCATTCCTGATCGTCCATAGTCATCCCCTGATCTCGTAACTGATATCTCTCGTTATTGTCATGACACGCTCCTTTGATTTGCTATATACTGTTAGAATATTCGTTATCAATGGCGTCGTCTGTTCTTTGGTCGTCTTTTATCGCTGCTCCTCTTGCCTTGGGCTACACTAACCCTCGCTCCATTTCAATTCCTGCAGACTACGATGTACTGCAATATATTGACCCACTTATCGGAAGTTCGAACGGAGGTATCATTCTTCCAATCGTTCTCAATAACAAACATTGCGATTGGCATCTGATCCCCTGTATTATTTAGGCAACGTCTTCGCCGGCGCGTCACTTCCCTATGGGATGGCGAAGGCTGTAGCCGACACAGATTCTGTGAACAACCAGGGCGGCTTCGCATACGATGGAAGTAATATCACGGGGTTTTCCAGTCTGCATGATTCAGGTACTGGAGGTCAACCTTCGCTCGGGAACTTCCCTATTTTCCCATATGTGAGCTGCAAGGATGACGATGTGAATGGCTGTGTGTATCCCAAGAAACAGCGCAAGACGCGCTACGACCCCGGCTCTGTCTTTGCGACCCCGGGTTACTTTGCATTGACCATGGCATCGGGAATTCAGGTAGACATGACGGTATCCCACCATGCATCTCTCTTCCGTTTTCGGTTCCCAGCAGATCAGGAAGCAAAGCCCCTTATCCTGTTGGATCTTAGTGACTTATCCGACACTCGACAGGACAATGGAACTATTACCGTAGATGCTGACACGGGGCGGATGGTTGGCCATGCTCGATTTTTACCCAGTTTTGGAAGTGGATCCTACACTCCGTACTTCTGCGTCGACTTTCGCAGTGCCTCCGGTGTCAGAGATAATGGCATATTCGTCAATTCGCGAGCGAGTACGGATGTAAAGAACCTCACGATCTCCCGAAGCATAAATGGGTACCCGCTACCGGTTTGTTCAGGCATCGAATCTGTTAGTGTCAACTATAGCTAACAAGTGTAGGGAGGTGCTTTCGTTCGATTTAACTCATTGGCCGATAATACGGTTCTAGCCCGCGTAGGCCTTAGCTTCATTAGTAGCGAACAAGCTTGCAGCAACTCTGAGTCTGAAATACCTAACTTTGACTTTAATGCGACGCATTCCGCCGCGGTGGATTCGTGGATAAAGAAGCTTGCCCCGATCCGAGTATCGAGAAATGGAGTCAATTCTTCATTCCTGTCCACTTTCTATAGTGGAATCTACCGCACCATGATCAATCCGCAGGACTACACCGGGGAGAACCCACTGTGGAAGAGCACAGAGCCATATTTTGACTCTTTCTACTGGTATGCGCGCCGTCTGCCCGTAGAGCTCTTCTCTGATATGTGATAGTCTTTGGGATTCGTTTCGGTCTCAGCTGCCATTTCTGGCCATCTTTGATCCTGCATCGCTGGCTCGAATGGTTCGATCGTTGATTGATACCCAGAAACATCTGGGCTGGCTTCCAGACTGCCGCATGTCGCTCTGCAAAGGTGCGGAATTGTAGCCCTATTAATAGAAGCGAGCTGACCAGTCTAGGTTACACCCAAGGTGGCTCAAATGCGGACGTGGTCCTTGCCGATGCATATCTCAAGGGCATTTCCGATGAAATAGAGTGGGAAGCGGGCTACTCTGCAGTCCGGAAGGATGCTGAAGAGGAACCGTATGACTGGTCGAACGAAGGGCGTGGTGGCCTAGACAGTTGGAAATCGCTGAACTACATTCCAGTAGAGGATTTTGACTACAAGGGCTTTGGAACGATGACGCGGAGCATCTCCCGCACGCTGGAATACTCTTATAATGACTTCACTATTGCACAAATGGCCCGTGGCCTCGGAAAGACGGGTGATGTTGAAAAATACGAAGCTACTTCTCGATTTTGGCAGAATCTGTTTCGCGACGATCAGGCCTCCTTCATAAACGAAACTGATACCGGATTCAAAGGCTTCTTTCAACCCAAGTATCTGAATGGTACCTGGGGATATCAGGTTTGCCCCCATGGCCTAGTCCCATGAAAGTATTACGTCTAATCAACAAAAAGGACCCTATCACCTGTTCCAACATCGACACAAGCGGGAGAGCTTGTTCGCTCCAAAACAATGCAGCCGAAACATTTGAGGACAGTATATGGGAGTATCAATTGTGAGTGAGAGCTAGTCAAACGATTCAACTAATCCACACTGACCTTCCAGTTTCGTCCCCCATGACATGGCCGCCCTTATCACTCGTCTTGGAGGCCCATCTCAATTCATCCGCCGCCTCGATTACCTCCATGACACTGGCATTACATACATCGGCAACGAGCCCTCTTTCCTAACCGTCTTCCAGTACCACTACGGCGGCCGTCCCGGCAAATCCGCTTCCCGCGCCCACTTCTACGTCCCCAAGTTCTTCAACGCAAACCCAACTGGCCTACCCGGCAATGACGACTCAGGCGCCATGGGCTCCTTCGTCGCAATGACCATGATGGGTCTTTTCCCCAATCCGGGACAAAACGTGTACCTGATCTCAGCCCCCTTCTTCGAGTCTGTTCGCATCACCTCGCCGCTGACGGGACGGACCGCCACGATCCGTGCCGTTAACTTTGATCCCGCGTATAAGAACATCTATATTCAATCTGCGACACTGGATGGAAAACCTTATAGCAAGAACTGGGTGGGGCATGACTTTTTCACCGATGGGCGGGAGCTGGTGCTTGTGTTGGGAAGGAATGAGAGCCATTGGGGAACTGGGGAGGAGGATTTACCGCCGTCTCTATCGACAAGGGGTACTCCTTTTGATTAAGTTCAAGTGTATGAACTAACTCTGATGGTAAAAATGAAACTGGGTTAATTGTACTAGTCATAGAAAGACCAAGAGTCTGCAATATAAAGTTCTTCCTTCAGGAGTAAGATGGAGATCACTGATCTCCTAACTAGTCTGCAATCGAACTACGTACCCAATTGAGCGTTACAGGTAGAAACTACATAATACTACAGCAAACCAAGAACAAACCCATTAATGAAGTGTTTTAAATTCTTTATTCATTCGTTGAGGATTAATCAAACACCCTGCCGAGACAGGGCATCCAATTTGAGACAAGATGATGGCAGTCTCGCACAAATGCAGTGAAAAGGGGAATCGTAATATCTACAGTACATCACGGCATGAAACAATTCAATAAAAGGAAAAAGGAACAGAAACCGCAACCACCAAAGCTCAAAAACCAGATGAACAGAATTCAACCCCAGTGTGGGATCTAGGCCTTGCCACGATAGAACTTGCTCTCAACCCAGGGCATACCGGTAACGGTAGCCTTACGGAGCTTGTTACGGACCAAGATGCCAACCTCGGTGCCCTTCTTGTGGAGACCTTGCTTGACGTAGCCCATGGCGATGTTGGTACCGCCGAGAGTAGGACTGGGGAGACCGGAGGTGATGATGCCGACAGGGGTGCGGGATTCGTCGTTGATATCGACGATGACGGCGCCTTCACGGGCAGGGGAACCCTTCTCGACAGTGAAGCCTACGCGACGCTGGGAGAGGGTCTTGGCGGGGGAGGCGAGCTGGGGGAGAATGGCGGAGGCGCCATTGAAGTTGGCGGTTGCGGGGTCGCGACGGTCCTTGCCGACGACCCAGCCCAGGGATGCGCCGGGGGGAGTCTGGGCGGTGGAGATGTCGTGGCCGTAGAGACACATGCCTGCTTCCAGGCGGAGGGAGTCACGGGCTGCTAGGCCGGCGAGGCGGACCTGGTCAGCGTTCGTGAGGAGGAGCTCGGTGACCTGGGCGGGCAGAGAAGGGGAGCCTGCTGTTGGGATGGAGATTTCGAAGCCGTCCTCGCCAGTGTAGCCGGTACGGGAGATGAGGAGGGGGTGAGGGGTGCGCGAGCCATCGGGGAGGGTGAGATGAAGTTCGCGACAGTTGCCGAAGTAGAGGGTGCTGAGGTCTGTTTCTGGGCCGGAGCCGTGGACGTAGGACTGGAGAACCTCGGCTGCGAGGGGGCCCTGAAGAGCGACCAGGGCGCGGTCCTCGAGGATGGACCATTTGATGCTGTCGGCGCCGTGGGCTTGCTTGTAGGCGGAGATCTCAGCTTCCAAAAAGGCGAGATCCTCGTCGCGCCGGCCGGCGTTGGTGACGAAGTAGAAGGTTTCGTCAGTACGACGGGTGATGACGGTATCATCAATGATACCGCCGGTGCCTTCTTCGAGCAGACAAGAGAGGGTGGATTGGTTGTGGCCAAGCTTATCGAGGGATGATGGTGTGACCTTCATCAGGAGCTCGATTGCGCCTGGTCCGCTGAGTTCGTGCTGAACCCTGCAATTGGCGTTAGTCTTTGATTCTATGTTATGGGAGTATTCATGGGCGTGTACATACATGTGGCTCACATCGAACAAGCTTGCCTTTTCTCTGGTCCATTTGTGGCTTTCAACATGGCTGAGATCGGAGTACTGCAAGGGCATGTCAAACCCCGCAAAGGGCACCATTTTCGCGCCCCGAGCGAGATGTAGGTCATACAGCTGAGTCTGTCTCAGCGGTCCCGAGGGAGCTGCAGACGAAGCAAATCGCACACCACCATTGGGGGAAGAAACAGAGCTGACACGGAGGAATGGGCGTGCAGCAGTTGGAGTGCGGAGACCG